ATATATATATATATATATAAATACATTAACTAATATTAAATAAGATGAATATTTATCCCTTCAACACACACCAAACGAGAGCCAATTCAAATGTAAATAGACTCATTTGAATCTTTTCGACGATCTAGATGTGCTGGTGTAGTCCGTTTCATAAAATGAAACCTTGATAAAAAAAATTTCAAGGGCAAAAATCCATGCAAATGAGACTTTATGAGCACGAATCCATGTAAAAACGAATAATGAATTTTCTCCGCACTCGTCGTATGTCTCTCCGAGTATAATGATGAGATCGACTCAGCTCGACGATGAGCTTAGGTGATGATGAGCCACCCAACTCATTATCATTCGCGAACATGAAAAGAATGCATGAACTGGACTCGATCAAAGGCTACCAAGCCGATGACAATCATGATCAACATGACACTATCCTACGAGACCCAAGGGTGAGTCCAAGGAAGATCGAGAACAAAAATGAGATCAACACCAATCAACTAATATTATGAAGTAGATGCGAGGGTCAACAAATAACAGTGATAAAAAATATTCAATCTAACAATCTTGGATTTCATAGCATATTCATATGACTTGGTGTTTATATAATTGGATGATAACCACAATTTATAAAAATAAATGTATAATAGCAATGTAAACAAGTAAAACGTTCAACACAACAAATCATGGTTAGATCACTCGTGTGATAGTCCATTATTAAAACATAAATCGAATGAAAGAGAAAGGGCATGACGCAATGGTTAGATTCCCTCCACTGTAATATGATAAGCTGGCTAAGATCAACACCTCTCAGAAATTTGTATGAGAGATGGTGGATATAGGACCAAGCTTATGCTCCCTCCATAGTTACCTAAATAGCACTAGTTTGAACTAAAAAAATATGCTGTCACTATGAGAGGAATGATTACATACTTCAGCCCAGTTAAGGTCCCTCAAAATGGAAAGCCTTCTAGCATCCCCCTTATTAAGAATCTATAATGAAAAGTTTTAACGAGAAGCTGCTATCTAGCCGCTTCTTTATCCATCATAATACAGTAGGAAGAATAGACAGATTTCACGCTGGACATTAGAAGATGTCTTTATTAGTGTTCAAAAAAACATACCAGATGGCAAAGCGGAGGACGGCTTATTAGGATCAAATGAAGGCATTGTTTTTAGGAACTCAAAAGGTTTAGCCCCTCTAGCATTCAATTGACTCCTCACCCAATTTCGAAAATCCTGACTTTCAAAATGATCACTCCTGATAAAACCACTCCAATGAAATTAGCATCACAGTATATCGATTGAAAACAAAGTGCAGATATTTTTTTCTGGTAAAAAATTAGACATAAGTATGGAAAAATTATGAACCTACCTAAGATGAAAGTACTCCCGAGACAAAGGGAAAAATCTGTTAAATTTTCGGGTTATAGCAAGCCACTCCTCATCATATTGAATCTCAGGAGGTCCAGGATCTGATTTTATTTCAAAAATCTACATATATAAAGTGAGCAATCTCATACATGTCTATCCAAAACGTTGAATAGGTGAAATAAACACTAGAAACGGAAAATGACACACCTGCAGGAATCTACGCCCAGGAAGGCACTTATCAAGTGCAAGAAACTTGGTGATAGGCCCATTTTCTCCGTGCTGGATAATGGCTGGAAATCTACAATGAAGATGAGCTGAAAACCAATAAGGTGGCTTCAGTTTATCCAGCAGCTCTGCTGCTGGTTTACTTCCGAGGGTTCTCAGCCTCACCTAAGAAATCAGAAGTACATAATATAACATCAACCTGAAATCTGAAAGCACAAAATATCAGTGGTAGCAATGAAGATAGACAGCTAGAGTTCACCAAAGCCTTATGTTGTGTCTGAAAGTACAAGGATGGCGAAAAAATCATTTCAAAAAGGAAAATTTGCCATAAACTATTTGACAAATTGTCTTTGACCAGTAGTCTCCAAGTTTGGCATATGTAACTTTGATCAATCCTATGCAGCCAAAAAAATAACTAAAAACGGTTTGGCTTATGCTAGGTTAACACAAACAAACCAAAAGATAAGATTAGCTAAAGAAATTAAGAGGGTAGGGTATTATTAGCTCGGTTCCCAACCTTCAAAAAACTTCCTAGATGTTGCATAAAGCCATAAATAAACACTTCTTGCCTTTTCCTATCCATTACTGAGCCTAAACCCTCATGCTCCATGCTTAAAACTTTGTCTGACCAATTAAAAAAATCCCACGAGTTTAACATGTCCTCATAAGTGATTATTAAATTAGCAACCAACGAAGTTAAAAAATGTTATGATGTGATTATTAGATTAGCAACCAGCTTACTTTGAGAGTAAACCCGTTTTATTCAATAACTTAAAATAAATATGAACATGATTATTAACAGCACATGAGGTACCTCATCTTTGAAAAAAGGCTTCTGTTGAACAAGCTTTTCCCAGTTTCCATACTCAGTGATCCCAAGAGGCCAATCATGTGACAGGAAAATATCTATCGGTTCTTTAATCTGCATCAGCCTCAGTACATCATACTGCCGTACGTGGTATACAGATCGAATACTGTTGTCATCATAGGGAGGCCTCTCATAATGACCTGCTCGAAAATGAAATGGTTTGGTGGTTCAAAGCTAGTAAAGCTCATGAAAGTTACACTTGCTTCAATATAATATTCAAAAGTTGCCCTAAATGTCCTTCAAAGATGAAACAGTTTAGATAAGGAACTAAAGAAGACCATGAAAGCCACAAACTTGTGCTCAGTAAATTACATAAAAGGCAGTGCAACAAAGACTCACCAGTTTAATGAACAACACAAATGTGAATGATAAAGTTTATCAAACGAATACAAAATAAACAACCAATGAGACGTAGATCTATTCAAAAATTTATATAAATAGTAACATGGCAATACTGTGAGCCAACACTTGCCTAAATGGTAATCCTTGGATTTGTAAATACCAGAAAGTCCACCAATACGGATGTTACCATATTTGATTACTCCAGCAAACCCCAGGAAATATATATTGGGTGCTGCCCATCCTCCATAGTACCTAAGGAGCCACCAAAGTAAAAAACTAGATCTTAAACAATTAAAGAAAATCAGGCGTTCATTAATTAGCACTCAACTAAATCTGAGTTTGATTTTAATTGATCTTTAAGATATTCATCAATTAATACTAGGATATCCCGAATCCTCCAGCTACCAGTATGCATCTTGACAACTGATAATTCACCACCTCTTACCAGTACAGCTTTACCAATACATCAAACATATTTGGATTCCACTCCCATTCTAGTTAAAATTTAGCCATTATTATCATAAGCAATTACTTACTTAAATAATAAAGAACAAGTTATAAGCTGCAAAATTTTTAACCTGAAAGCCCTGGTATTTTACTCACCAAAGTAGGTATTCATTTTTCGTTGTTGAAACTATGTACAGCTCATTGTTCTCAAAATATGTAAAGCTATGAAGATAAAATCTTCTCAAACGAGACAACAAAGATGATAACTCAATCATCAACAATGATGCTGCACTGCCAGGATCCATGTATTTGTTATGCATGAAGAAATAAAAAACCTTGTTTTAGTGTTACTATACTAAGACAACTTATTGCTTATTGTTTCCTGTGGGGTGCATTCAAAAGTGTCTTCCATCCTCTTTGTTTTAGGCTTGAATAAGATAATTGTTCCAGAAACATCCATGGCTCTCTTGAAAAATCCTCAAAAAGGACTAAATGTCAAGATAACTTCCTTGAAACACCAATGAATCTAAAGCTTCACGTAAATGACTAAATGTATTTTTTAAGAAAATTATTAACATCTCAAATTTCTTGATAGCTCAAATAAAAAGAATGATGCTAGAAATAAAAACAATAAGGTGATGTATATTGTTTATTTGTTGATCTTGCAAAGAACCATATCTCTGTGGGCATTTTCATCCAAGGATTCAAGCTGAGGATAGACAAATAAGTTTTAATCGACACATGTATGCATCATAATCAATCTTATCACAATTATTTGGAGCCGACTTTATAAATGCTCATTTTTTATTGGGTACATCTAAGTATTGCCAAAAATGTTATGCCTATTCTTCATAAACCCTTTTAAACAACTTAAATCCAAATTCATTAACTCCATCCTTCTCTTCTCCCTATACCTTCGATGTTAATTCTATCTACCAGTCCAATTGGTGTATTTAACCCTTCGTAGTCTATGTCCAAAAAACTTAAATCTATTTTCGATTATTTTATCTTAAATAGATCACACTCGAGCCTCCATCTCATACATTCCTGCTGCTGGTTATTCCACAAATCTATTTAAATATTCTCATTTCTGTAATATTCAACTTAGCTATCAACAAATTCTATATTATTTGTTTGATGATCTGGGAAACAATTATATCTCTAATCATGCTCGTCCCAAAACTTGGGCTAAGAACAAACTGATCGGTTTTAATTGATGCATGTATGCATCTTCAACAGCATATCATCATAATTAACCTTATCCTGATTGTTTGGAACTTTTTGGGTCCAACCGAATTAAGCCTATTTTTCATTTATCTTATCTTAGATAGATGCCAGTCCAACCATTCAACTCATATAATTATTCCCACTAGTTAATCCACACATCTTTCTAAATATTCTATTTTCAGCAATGCTCACCTTAGCTACCAACAATTTTTTTTATTGCCTAGCACTCATATTTATACAACACAGCCAGCTTGATTACATTTTTATAAAATTTAATTTTAAGTCTTCATAATGTCCTCTTGTACATAATACTCTCGTCACTTGAGAAGGCATTTCTCTATTTTAACAACCCAATCTTAATTCAATAAATTATATAAGCATCAATATCCCCAATTCTCCATTCTTTTGTAAAATAAATTCAAAAAATTTAAACATATCACAAACATGTATAATTTTATCTTCTTACAATATTGTTTGGTAATTATTAATATGACACTCAAATTTCACGTCATTCATTTAGCTTTATTCAACTAATCATAAACCCTCTATCTTTTAAAGGTCACGCATCTCTACTATAAACATAAATACATATTTCAAGTGTGTATATTTTTTTATTCTTCAACTTGCCATGTGTCATATATTTGCCTCTATTCATGACTTTTTCCTGGGATTATTCTTATAAGCATATCTATGAATTAATTACCATAAACTTTCAATGAGTGCAACTTCTTAAAAAACCGAAGCAAGGCATCAACATATATTTCGAAACTTAGAAAAACTTTAAATTCATTATCATGAAGGAGCATCTAGGAATATAAGAATGTGTAGGGTATCTTTTCATGCATATTAAGGTTCTATAATCAAGCAAAAAAAGAATCTAAATTCCTCCACGTTTCTTTTAAGAATTGGACAAAATGAAATAGAAATGCTAGAAAATACTCACAATTCCCACAAATAATTAGAGGCCTCATGATTCCCACCAATGAAAATAGTTGGATATGGAGCTGTCACTTGTCCAGAATAGTACTTCCAAAAGGAATTCATATGGCGATACTTTGGGGGCACATTTAGGCTTTTTAGATCTTCTTCATTTCTAACAGCCTGCATGATAAATTGGAATAGTTTAGGAACAATGAAACATTAACTATGCCATGTACAGAAAGTTTACACATGCAATCCCTCTCATCAGAAAATGATATATAGGGAAAAGAAGACAGGGTATTGACTCACAGCTAGCCATGGACTGTAAATGAAACTAAATATAACAGCAAAAGAAAATATATAAAACTGTACACACAATATCTTGTAGTCCTTGGTTAGGAATGATTGCATTATAAATTTTATGTAACGGTTCATTCATCAATAAATAAGCACAATGTCAAGCTTATCAGCACAATGTTCATATATTTTGGATTGACAATAATGGCAAGGCATTTACATATGTAGTGAAATTGAAAGTCAAGTAGGATGCATATGAGCAATTCTTTATATGTACTAATCCTGATTCTAAGTGATGGATACAATATACTTTAACGTGGAAAACATATGTGCTTCCAGTCTCCCAATCCAAGCAACAAGATGAAAAAAGTTTATATATTCCATAATATTTAAATTAACAGAACTGGACCGAAAAGCCCTAGCCCCAATATAATGCTCCTAGTTTACATGGCAGTGGTAAGAGGTTCAAGTTCAACCAACTCTTCCTTCTATGGTTGAAGTTGTGTAATCCTAATCTATAACTGACCTCGAATTTGTTTATCCTTGTAACTTGGCATATGCCTTAATTTCAATCAATAAAATAATTGAGACAATTTTTATTTATAGCAAAAAAGTTGACACAGTTGGGTCTCAACTGCTTTATTGTAGTTAATCGGATTTTCTTCGTCTGTATATTGGAGTATACTCGACCAAGCTGCTTAAAATTGCCATGGATTGCATAAATAGATACCTGAAAGTCCCCGCAGCATAATAGTAGGTCTATCTTCGTATTCTCTGCTTCTTCCAAGCGCTTAATCGTAGCATAAACCTTGTCAAGTTCTCCATGCAAGCAACCCTCCACGGCTATCTGCAACAACACAAGGCATAACAAATGCGCGTAATTCAGCTATTCTACAAGCATGAAAAAGAATAACTCATGGGATGAATGAGGTTGGAAAACATGAATAAGAAAGACTCGCCTTCATAGTTATCTTTGAAACCCTGGAGGCCGAACAGTTGGTTCGGCGGGACGAGATAACTGCGCAGGGATCTTATTATCCAAGCGCCCGGCAAGGGGGATCTGCACCACCGCCGCCGGCGAGCCGTAGAGTGTAAACGTGAGCTAAGGATACCGCCCTTGGGCTGGAAAGCGAGAAGACCCCGGGAGAATTACTAAAAAGAGCTGCACAATTCCTCTCTATATAAATATTGAACTCTTAAAATTTAATATTTATATTTATAAATTGTATTAATCCAAGAAATATATATATATTTTTTTTTTGTAAATAATAATAATAATCTTACTTGTATTTTATGTTTAAATGATTTTGAATTTCACAATAGTCTTTCTTTAATGCTCTAATTCTCATATGTTTCTTAAAAATTATATTTTTAACGATATTTCTTCCAATACCCCAAGTAATATTTTTTCAAACTATCTATCAAATTGATAGTTTATCTTGTCAAATTTCTAAATGATTTTATTTTTTGGCTTTACAAGTAGTTGCTTATGTGACTTGGTATGAGAGAAATAATATAATTTTTAAGAATAATCATTCTGTTAAATCCAATATCTGTCACATTCACTGATTAATCTCCTATAAAACTAGGAAATGGAAATTTATGAATTTTAATCTTGCTTATATTGCTCAATTTCACAAAAGTTAATTTTCATGTTGTCTTTGAGTTTTTTGGGTTTTTCAGGTAACTTTTATTTCTTTCTATTTTATGTGGCATTTCATTTTGTTACTTAGTTTTTCTGTAAATAGAATTTTGTTTTCATTGCAAGTTGTTCTTTCTTTTTCTGTATGATCTTAGTTTTATGATGTGATTGGTATTTGGTTTTTTATCTTAGCATATTGCATGATTGCTTTTTTAGTTTTTTTCTATTTTTCTTAATTTTCATTTTGTTGCTTAGTTTTTCTCTCTGTTTCTGTTTTTCTTTTACTTAGGTATGTGTTATATTTTTTTATTGTTTTCCAATTTCACTCTATGTATTTTGTCCATTCTTTTTTTGTATGATCTTAGTTCCAAACATTGTGATTTGTATATGTTTTTGTTTTCTTCGTTTGTTTTGTTCTTTCTTTTATTGCCTGATCTTAACTTCATATTTTATTTTCTTATTGCTTGATTTTGGCTAAATGTTGTATTGGTATTGATCTATAATGAACTCCAATCTTGTTATATATTTAATATTTTAGGATGTAATTATAATACTTATTTACATGTAAGTTCTAAGATCTACGTTTTTTACTTCTTTTATTTCGATGAGCTTATTATATTTTTTCTTATGTTTTAGTAGTTTGTTGGTTCTGCACTTTCCTTGCAGGACTGGTCGTTGTTGAATATCTCTTCTTTCACTTTGAGGTTGGCGCGCTAACAAATGGTGTTGCGACTTTTTTTTTCATCTTCATTTAGTTCATTTATGTTTAAGTCATTAACATTTATACTTGTCGGAAGGTACGCACGCCACAATGTGAGTGTAATTATTTAGCATGTTGACATTATATGAGACTCCAATACATGTTCAGATGAAAGAAGATACCCAATGAAAACACAATAATTTTGCATGGCATACTCGAACAAGTAAAAAATCACAGGATTTTGCTCAATTGAACATTCCACTATGAGTTTGGGATTACAGATAATTCCTTATTCCATATGCGAGAAAATGTTACACGGTTTCTTAAGTTACAAAGTCGATGTGCGATATAACTCGTTGCCCCATTTTTGGGAGTAGTTGTAGTGATAGGTGATTGTTGAAGCTTTAATGAATTGTTATCAAGGTCGACATAATAGTCGGGAGGATGCACCTCTTCGTAGGTTGCTTCATGATTTCAAGGCAACGATTGTTGCTTCGCGCAGTGATTTATCACCAGGAGCGAGAGACGGTGAATGTTGGTTGGCGACAGTTGGTGAACGGTAGTCAATAGTGGTTGGTGGTTGTAGGAGCAGGAGGTGCGCCGGATCGTTAGTGCATAAACCTGGGCTTCAACTCTCTCTTTCTCCAAGCTATTACCTTCCAATTGTTGAGGATATGGTCTCCTTCCAAAGAGAGGTTATGACTCTATTTATAGAGTCTATGTTGCAAATAAAGAATATATTTAGACCACTATGATTGGACGACCTGAGAAGATTCCTTTGTTCGGACAATATTTTATGAATATTTGAGTACCTTAATGATATTAGAACTGAATAATCTTGAACTCGTTGGATTCGTCTTATCGATACATTTGAATTGACTATAAGTTTGCTATATTGAAAATTCATTTGACCCTTCCATTATGTCTGTAAAGCTTTCAAAAGTGACAACGAGTTAATCTGGGCTTGATTTGATTTAGATTGGGTAAGTTTTGGTATTGTTGGTCTCTTTCATCGAGCCGACAAGTTTGAACTTAAGTTTGTCAAAACCGTAGTTTTGGATGACGTTTGATCGAAATTTAAATATTTATTGTTAAAAAAATTATCTCGAGATTTGATATTCTTGCAAATGATGAAAATTTGTTGATAGTGAATCAATCAAGATACTTCTCTAAATCATATTTCAATCTTATTTAAATTCTATTCAAATTTGCCTTAGTCTATGCGTTTGAGAGGTAAAATTTCAAGCATAGTTGAAACAATAAAGGAAATATTCTTCACTTTCAAATATCATAGGACTTAATAAATGAAATTTCCTTTACCAAAATAGAGAGCCGAATTATTGATAAATGACTCTAGAATGCAAAAGATAAAAAAATAATTAAAAAAGAAAAAAAATATATTTAAATCATATTTCCATAACTATTATTAAAGCTGATTAAAAGTGAATAATTATATAATTTTCAAAGAAATAAAGGCTATACATTATCAGCACAATTATAAGCAAAATACACTCAAAAATTCAGAAAAGAGAGAAGAAAAAAGAAAAAAGAAGGTAAAGAGAGTAATCAATAAACCCAAAAAACAATAATAGATATCCAACAAGCGCATGAACCAGAGCTCAAGAGCCTCTCGGAACATCAGACTTCTCTTCCACCGCGCCATCTTCGCCGCCGAGGCCCGCCATTTCTGTAGGCCTTTTTGGGCCGGAAATAGCCTTCGACGATCGCCTTAAAAGTAAAGAAGATATACCGTAAAGAAAAGAAGAAGAACCCGCGCTGGTACTGATGCTATTAAGATTGGAATAAGAAGAAGGAGAGTAGGGCTTCCAGCTCTGATAGCAGAAGAAGAGCATCGCCGCAGTGGGAGCCATGAACATTAAAATTCTAAGCTTTCAAGAAGCAGAGAGGGTACAGGGACTCTATTTATAGAAATAGAAAATGTGGAGAGAAAGGGGGAAAACGGCCATTGATACGGATTTGGAAAACGATGGGCTTTGGATTCAGAAGCCAAAGGTTTTGTGGAGAAAAAGAGACACTTAATTACATACACACCACTCGAAACTTCCTATTTACAAATCAAGCCCCATTTTCGTCTATTTTTCAAATATCAAAATTCATGGCAAGACCCCTAGCTCATATTTTTTATTTTCATCCGAGTCTTTAATCTGCAAATACCAATATTTTGGATGGTCTGTACGTAAAGAGAGGAGAGCTGTGGCGTGGAAGAAGAGGTCTCGTGTCGGCGCGTGCTCATCAGGAGTTCGGCCAATCCTGAGTGCGGCAGCCCATCGCTGAACCATGTAAATGGTCCACCCAGAATCCTCCGCGCGTCCGTCGTTCTCTCTTTCCGCGCATCATAACCATGGGCAAGAATGTGATTGATCATTAGAAAAGAAAAAAAAAACAAATTTAATGAATAAATAAATAATCAATTAAACATATGAACGATTGATTACTCATCTTAACATAAAGAAAAATGATCAATTATCAGAAAAAAATTAGACCACAAATCCTAATGTATTCATATATCCAGCACCTGAACTTTTATATTTACATTTATAACACTTGTGCCATAAAACTATATATTAGAGTATAAATATCACTTCAAAAAGATAATTAAAAATGATAATTTTATGCTATGTCAAAATTGTGTATCATGATAAGAAATTTTTGACTTGCATGTAAACACATTTTCATCACCATTTAACATAACATAGTCAGAATAAGTATATAAATAACCAAAAACTTAGCCTACATATTAATAAGAAAAGAAGGTAAATTTATATACATACCACAAATTTTTTATATATTCACATATCTGACACGTAAAATTTGATATTTTATATTTATAAAACAGGTGTCAAAGCTATGCACAAAAATGTTATTTCACTTTTAAAAATTTAATAATAATGATATTTTTTCCGTAATATCAACAAAGTTGAGCGGCATGAAAGTTTGTTAGATATGTAAACGCATAAGACATGTGCTGAATCTCCAACTTTAGATCCAATTCCAACCGACCTCTGATATAGTACAACATTTAGGAAGTCCAGCTTCGCACAGTAACCTGTCAATATGATAAGCTAAATACTTCTCTTTTAACACGTCTCATCATCTATACATCTCATTAAATCTAAGTAAAACTCTTCAACAACAGGAACCATCTCGCTAAATCTAAGTAAAATTCTTCTGCAACAGAAACCATCCCTCCATAGAAATCTATAAAAAATTTTCAATTTTCTGCCGTTATTTTGCTCCCCTACTTCAAAATTTTCTGAGATGGAAAACAGCAGATGAGGAACAGTAAGAAGCCCTCCAGTTTGCTGGCATAATCGGGGCCATTAATGGTGAACTCGAAGCTCAAAGTTCCAGCTTCCATCTTCAACAATCCTGCAATGGTGCAAGAACAAACAAAGCAAAGGCTTCCCATTAATCATGGAAACCTCTGTAAATTCTACACCACTTGTAATGTTATTCTGTGCAGTACAAAAAGTAACAAAGATCCCTTTTTCCCTAAAGGAACCACCCAGAAACATCATCAGAAATTTCATATAATTCAGTATACAATGCTTTTTAAATTATCAAGCATGGTCTCCACAGCTGCCAGAAAATGGCTTCAGAATGAAATTCTTCTGAAAAAATTTCTAATCTCATCAACCATTTAGCTACTGGTCCACTTCCTTTTCCGAGCTGGGCGCTCGTGCTTGATATCGAGGTCGGCGGAAGCTGCGGAAACAGGTTCGTTCTGGATACATGGCGTCGGTGCTTCGCTCTCTACCTTCTTATTTGCCGTCAGATCCTTGTCCTTCTCTCCAGGCATGGGAAGCTTGAATCTTTCGCTCCGCATTTTTAGTTTTGCGACTGTGTCCAGGTGACGATCTCTATCTTCGCCTACTTTATCTGTGATTTGAAGCGGATCGTCGGCATTTGTTTCAATGTTATCGGGCTTATTAGGATCGTCTTTGACCGATTCGGTGAGGGTATCTTGGGGGTCTTCCACCTCCCTCACAATAGAGGAGGTCTGGATGTTGGACTCTATGATGCTGTAGTCCCTCTCTTTATGGCTGGTCCACCGCTCAAGTTTCGAGCGACCCCTCCTTGAATCATGGCTCTCACCATCCGAGGCGGGATCTTCGTCGCCACGTCTTGCAGCGAGTGGCAGGGAGGCCTCCGTTTGCTCAGTTTTAGCACGAGTTTTCTTGCCTTCCATGGCAGAACGATTGTTACTTTGTTGTTCGCTTGAACCTTTAGAATTGAGCTGTGCAGAAATAAAGAAGTAAAATCTGAATCAAAGCACATGAGAAATCTGAAAAGAGTTGACAATTTTTTAACAATAATCCAAGGAAAAAAGAAATGAAAAAGAAGAAACGATTAGCAATACAACAACTCACCTTATGAACCTGTTCAATACGGAATGATGCATTGATGTTGACAATATTACAATAATCCTCAATAGTAGCGAAAAATGATTAACCCAACCAAAAACTTGTCATCAAAAGATACATATCATTTAGTTTAAAATTCTTGGATTTAGTTTCCACCGACACTTACCATGTTTTCATATTTCACAATGATTGAAAATATCGTAACTAAAGGTCTATAGTCATAAAATTTACCATTCAACATTCTGTTGGAGTGTGTGAGGCCATAGAGTTTACTCAATTCATCTGAAAATGGTTAGATATTTCCCAAAAGATTGTGAAAAAGATGAATAAATAATAGATTCCTACCCCAGAAATGATGTTAACATACCAAAAAATAAGATTATATATATATATATATATATATATATATATATGTTATAAAAGTAAGCAATATGAAAAGACAACGATTTATTTCAGAAGCTTTTATTTTTGCAACCATCCTATTCTAGCTCGGATTTTTCTTTCCACAATGGGAAAGATTTCCTTGTTTCAACAACTTTCACCGGAATCATTCAGAGCACTAAAAGTACCTCAGTGCGGTGAGTGTTGTGCCCTCCTCTCTTTCTCTTGCCAGATGCTCCTTTTTGCCCAACAGGTTCAGAATCCTCAACTTTTTTGTTACTTTCACGATGCCTTTCCTTCTGCAGCTGATGTTCATCAGAAGTGCCTGAAGGTCGATCAGGTTGAGCACTCGACCTTTCATACCTCATGTTTCTCTGCTCACCATTAAATCTTTTTTCTCTAGCATGAGTATCACCACGAACTTTGCTTACAGACTCATTTTCTTCACCATTCCGATCACCCCTCTTTGACTGCTCATTGTGCCTCCTCCTATCATTATCATGATATCCTTTTTCAGATCCTGCAACTTTTAAATCTTCTTTGTTCCTTCCAGCTCCAGCAAATATCTTCTCCATAGGCCGGCTGCTTCGGGAGGCGAATCGTCTTTCTTCTCTTACAAGTGTATCATCATGAACTAGATTGAGTTGCTGTCGATCTTCTCTGTCCCTTTGATACCAATTTTCATCTTTTTGCTTGCTAGAATGGCGTTCTTCAATCTTGCTCTTTGTTCTAACATCATCCTCCCTCTTCCTATGATCAACAACATCCTCCCTTATCCTTTTCTTTCGGTGGGAAACCTCCCTCACCCTATAACCATGCAAAGACTCTTCCTTTTCAGCTCTCTCCCTTCTGGGAAGTTCAACATCTCTTTTTCGCTTCATTTGACCTTCTTCTTGGTTATCCCGCCGGTTCATCAATAGATCATTCCTCTCCCTATGTCTAAGGCATTCATCCCTACCATGCCCTCTCCAATCTCCTTCGTCTATTCGTTTCTTCACATGATCCTCAATCTTTTCTTTCCTGTCAATCATTCTAGCTTTGCTCCTTTCCCTGGGTTTTATATCATCATTATAAACACGTCTAATATCTTCATCCTTTATCTGTCTATAATGGATGTCATCTTCTCTCCTATGCCAAGCACCAACAGATGCATCCATCTCCCTCTCAAAATCCACGCTTCTGCCTCGAAAAGTGTGACCAGAGCCAGAATCCCAGTCTTTCTGTGCATAAGATTCATGCACGGTCTCCCTTCCTCTAAGTCGATTTCTCCCTGAATCCCGTCTACTATCCCTGCCATAATCATCTCTCTGTCTGCGATCATCTTCTTCATGATGCTTGATCAAATCTCCCATATGCTTTGAAGAATGGATTTGCATAACTTCTTCACCAGTTTCATGTATCTTTTGGTAACCCCTACTGGATCCTGACCTTGCTCGGCTATTATCACTGTGCGTAAGCCTTGAACCATCGCCAACATCGTTATCCTGAACACCGGATTGCTCAATGCATGAAGTGAACTTTTGCCTGTTTGCATGACTGATGAAGCCATCATCACCTACGGTTTCACTTGATACTCGAAAATCCGAAGCTTCCCCTCCATCACCTTCATGGCTGTCACCTAGTGTAAGCCTGTCATCATGCTCAACATCCTTTGGTTCCATGCTCGACTCCCTTACAATATCAGAAGGCGGCGAATCAGACGCCTTGTTGATTTCTTTCCCATCACTTGCACTTTCCTTATGATATCCTTCGTGCTTGTCTGAATGCATGTTTCTGTGAGGGAAACTCTCACTTAAGTTTCCGCTTGAAATGGAATTCTTTTCATATGGTGTTCTTTGTAATGGCCTTGAATTTCAAAATTGAAACCATGGGTTAGTAGATTCTTAAATGACCATTAATACAGAAAACAACATTGAGCGAAGAAATGAAAGCAAAATTCAAAATTCATAACAGTATCTTGAATGATCTGTCATCCTGTAAACAGACCTGTGTAAAGCATATACTTAAACAACCACATCTGCGAGGTTCAAGAATACAATGTGCAGTGATGAAAAAGCTTATTTTACAAAAAAAAAATGTTGCATTTTGGCAAGGCAACTGATACAGATAAGAATAAAAAGAAAGGAACATATGAAAACAGATGGATCAATAACGGAGATGATATAAAGGTGAGCTAGGAGAAAAAAATAGCAATAGCAGTTAGGAGATGATAAGCAGGCAAGATGAATTGAAAATTGTAGCGGGGGTTTAGATGCCTTGATTATTAAAAAGTGAAGAATTTGGAAGGTAAAAAAAAAGAGATGAATGAATACCTAAAGAATAGGAAGGCGAGTGAAAGCAAAGAGAAAAAAAAACACCGTGAAAGAGGGCGTAATTGATCCTCTTGGATGCCAAAGAAAGGCTTCATTCCATCACCAATAATCATAATTACCATCGTTAGCCTGCTATTATTAGTTGTAATCATAATCTCCTAGCTAACCTAGTCTAATAACAAAAACAAAACAATAAAGAAGATTATATAACATGACATCTCAAATGAATCATGCTTAAGGATTGAAGTAAATTATTCAAACAACAAAAATTCCCCTTACCCATGAATAACTCTGCAACAACAACAACAACAACAAAGCCTTAATCCCACTACGTGGGGTCGGCTACATGAATCATTTTTCTCCATTACGCCCTATTTAGTGTCATATTTTCATTTAGTTATAGTAAATTAAGATCATTTTTTATACAATAAGCCCAAGTCTTCCTAGGTCTACCTCTGCCTTCCTTAACACAAGTCAAATCTAAAACATCTACTCTCCTAATCGGATCATCAGATGGTCGACGTTTAATATGACCAAATCATCTAAGACAACTTTTTCTATTTTGTCCGTCACAGGAGCTACACCAACCCTATCACGGATATATTCATATAAACATTTACCCATGAATAACTCTACTGTTGAAAATTGAAATGTTGCTAGAAAAAGAAAAAGAGGCATGATATACCCTAAAATTCCCCAAGTCATGCATGATAATGTTAGGTTTTGAGAATCTATCAAAGTTATGCTTAGGCAAATGTTAAGGTTCAATCAAAATATGGATTGAGATTATTTACAATTGAATTGGGGTTCAAGTCAATAATCTGTAGTTTTCAAGATTGATGAATGTCTTCTTAATAGGTCTATTTAACATAACATTATCCTTGAATGAGTGCTTAAAAAAGAAAAATATTTTTGTAAGTTAATATATTTTCATATGAATTACTTGAATAAATTATTAATTCAAAGCTAATTTTGTAAATTATGAGAATTGTTGCATCAATTATAAAAGGTGAATAGCTGCATAGTTATGTCAAGTCAGGGCAATGATTCTTGTTGAGATAGGTTTAAATTTTTTATCATTATGGGTTGCATTTCCTAAGTATTAGTATACTAATCTTGAACTTATCTAATAAACAGCAATATCCCTATATCATGATCAATAGGATAATCATCTCATATTAAAAGGCTAAGGTAAACTAATAGTTTTTTAACGACTTTATAAAATCATCGAGTAAAATACATATAATATGGTTAACTTAAAAAGATGGCTTATATTATACTGATAAAGGTTTTGATGCATGCATGGAATGTTATGATTGACAAAGATTATTTAATTTAGGGATCATGAGTTTTGAAGGGGAAATTGACAAGTAGGCTTGGAGGCAAGTATTTAATTTATGGTAGGGGGCTCTTACTAATTGAGTGAAGAGCATAACTTTCGTTTTTAGGGGCATTCTCTTGACATTTGCAGAGGATATATTTAGGAATATATATGTTATTCCATGTTTAATTTATTAATATTTATCATCTTTGCATTGATTAAGAAGGGTCAATGTTTATCATGATCATAAATTCATAGATGAACATAAAATAATGCTATTACTTCGCTTTTGCATAGATTGCATCCAAAGTAGTGGTCATAGCACTCATGTCTCGATTATGCCTGAAGGTAAATGAATTCATTTTCTCAATCACTTTTGAGTTATGCGGGTGGATAATATACCTCTATAGTAGTACTGAAAAGATTATAGTACTGAACCTTTTGACATCTCTTATGTGTGCGCGAGTGTGTGACCTTCTCTCCGCCGATCCCTTTATTTTATTTTTGGCTATTTTTGTATCAAGCATCAGAATGACTAAATTGTTGTGAAAGGAGCACATGTTTAGAGAGTAATATGGCACAAATGTAAATAGCAGCTATCAAAGATGTGTCTTTAGAAGCTTTCACAAAGATCAACACCTCAATCTTGTTTGAGTTGCATGATTCCTACTTTTGAGAAGGCAATTTCAAGTTTCCTTTGGGGATATTTGTTTTCCTTTTAGTGAGAAGCAAAAGGCAACGAATAATAGATTTGGTGATTAGTAGTGGTTTGTGAGGTTGAATGCAATCAACACCACATTATTAGACAAACTAGCTATAGGCCTTAGCTTGGATGGTGTTAGAAATGAAGAAACTACGCCAAGGACTCTGAGCTAGCTAATCATATCATTGATGAAAGCATAGATGGAGGAGTAAGCACAATACGAGAAAAGAAAGTAAGTGGGTGTCATTAAGGAATGGTAAATGCGAATAAAGAAAAAGATTTATAGATAAATAACAAGGAAGACTTCGGCATAGTACATATTTTATAAGTATGTCACCATTAGTAAGATAGTAGCTCATGAATTTTATGAGTGTTCCCCTTCTAGAAGAAAAAAAATCCATCATATTAATTTTGGTTTAACATTTCATTGAATGGACTACCATTTTTCAGATGTTTATGGGCTCTATTGCATGATTACCATAACTTAATATTTGTTATTTTTAGGAGACCTTGCTATGTAAAATTGTTAAAGTTACAATAATAGTTATAACAATCACATTGCATATCATCCGTTTACTCCTTGATCTTTATACCTTAGTGAGTGGATTTCATCAATTGAGATTGCTCTTCCAAACTCACATATATTAATTTTTGTGGCTTTAGATTACTAGTTGAGCATCCTTCAAGAAACATATGATAGGTTCATATCTCCTGCATTATGCAAAGGTAATTAAAGTTGTATGCTTATTGATTTGATAAAAAAAATTGTATAGCTCTCCTTGGATCAATATAAGTAGAATTAAGTTTCCTTTATATTTTGGTAGAAGGATTAATAAATTTTACTAAATTGTGATATCCTAATCATTTATATTGGTAGATAAATGTATGGATAACTTATTATTAATTGGATTAACTATAAATCTATTAATACCATATTCTATCAAAATACAGTAAAAAGCTTATAAAGTTTGGCAGGGCCGTGACAAATCCATCTTAAAATAGAAAAAATGAATGTGACATTCATCCCAAAGAAAAGATAATGAATGAAAAATTCATCCCAAGAAGTGGCAAAAAGGATAAACAATTTGATTTGTGATTGAGCTAAGTCATCTAAATTAGATTGGGTCAAATTGAATTGGATTAAATGAGGATTATTTAAGACGGGCTTATAGCCCTGCGAAGTTGATATGATTTTTCATTGGATCGAGCTTATATCCAAGCTAAAAGTCAATTGGCTTAGGTTGGAGAAACTAAATAAGTTTGAAAAAATCAAGGTGGCTGGAGAAATTTGTGAAGGAAAAAGTGGAAATAAATTAGGATGCATATTTCAACTCAATTTTCTGATATTCAAATTTGAATTTAAATTGTAGTTTAAAAAAGGAAATGAAAGACGAGTTTCAAGATTTCGTAGTAGAAATTATGGATGATATTCTGAAGAATATTAGGATAATATGAACAAAATAATTGCTTAAAAGAGGACAAAATAATGTGATTATTGCAACTAAACTTCAAATTTAATTTCAATGTTGAAAAATCACCCTTAAAAATCTTTTTGGTTTTCAAAATTCAAAGTTGATTTTTTTGGAATTCTAAAAAAATGATATTAATTTATTAGAATTAAAAAAAAAATATGACACTCAATAGGACACCATGGAGACAAAGGATTCATGTAGCCAACCCAACTTGGTGGGATAAAGACATGTCGCTGTTGTTGTCGCCTTAAACATTGTTTTTATTTTCTTTTTGCAAATGTTCAAGTCTTCATCCTTTTGCATTGTTTTTTATTTGCATGGAATTCGTTGCAACTTTATGGTCAATAAAAGCGGATGGTTATTATTGATGGAGAAAGAAGGCTCCAAATACACTAAAGATAGGAAATTAAAAATAGTAAACTACAAAAAAAATAAATTTAAAATTCTAAATATCTAAGATTTCACAATCTAATTTGGATTGGTGAAGAGGAAAATTGGCAAGAAGCTTCAAAGAATTCATACAGAGATATATAGAGTGAGGCACCAAGGACATCAAGAAAAAGAGAAAAAATTACGTGTGATTTCTTGAACCATCAAAAGCAAAACAAATCTTAATTTCTTAAGGGAGAAGTAAAATTTAATAAGTTTTTCTTTGATACCAAGCGATGAAAATTGAGACAATTTAAATGAAGCTTAATGAGGAATTTGACACCTAAATTATTAAAAATAGAAGAATATGATGTAGATAAACAATAAAAGAAGCGAACAAAAGAAAAGAATTACTTCACCAAAAGAATAGGGGAAAAGTTAAAGAGGGGAAAAGAAAGAACCTAATGATTTCAAAGGAGGAAGAGGAAGTAATTGATCCCCATAAAAAATGCCAAAGAAAAGCCATATCTTTATTCATAATCAACCATCTTAATTACCACGATTGGCCTACTCGTAGCCTCATGGAAAATCTAATCTAATAAAAAATAGCAAAATCATAAATTTAAACATTGAATCAAGCAAGAGACCTTAGCATTTGTATATCTAGAGCACTAAATATGCAAAAAATTGATTTTTTCAGCGGTAATCAACAAATACGAGAATTGGAAGCTGAGTGATAGTGCGAAAATCAAATAAAATTTAAAAAATAAACAAGAAATTCATACAATGCAAAATCAGCAAGCAATTGCAATATATCATTACAAACAGAATCCAAGTTTTGTCAAATTTGAACAAAATTAGAAATACTAGCAATCCAGTAACAAAATATACAGAAGAAAATAGATCAAGAAAATAAATAACCAGCGTAAAAATATTCAAGCTTTATGATAGTACAAAGAAATAACTTTCACAAAATTAGTTTATCATTGCACCATGCTCAAAGAAATCATATATCAAACTTGCACAAACAAGATTGAAAACCGAAACAATTAATTTTATTCAATCGAAGTTCAATTTCATACCTCATACCATTTATAGATTCCCCAGTCCTGGGTTGGTAGATATGGTTGGTACATGATCAGTCAAAAACAATTCCAAATGACCATAAAATTCAAACTTTATTTTACCCATAATTCATGGGTAAAAATAATGACACAGAAGAAGCCAAACAAAAGTTATGCATGAAACTAAAAAAGAAATCGTTAATAGTCTTCAGTGACAAAACCCACAAAATAAATGCACAACAGTACTTGTAATAATAGCTCCCACAAAATCAAAGGTGGAATAATGCACCACATGTAGAGGTAGCCATCCCAACAACTAACTATAAAAACAGCGAGCCCAACAAACCATAGAAACAGCCATCCCAACAGCCTAGAATAATTATCCCTATATTAATGTATAACCTAGACTTATTCATAGATCAAAGTAGAGTGATCCTACACCAAACAAAATAAAACACATGTATTTCTCAGGGCCAGCATCATATGCTCCAAACTAATGAAACTATAAACTAAAATAAAAAAAATCAAATGATAAAATCACATAAAATTTGCTAAAATTATTGATTGACATGATACTTCTAACTCAAATTTTCATCAGATATGATGAAAATATAATACATTAAATAAAAAAACTAAACTGATAAATATAATGACCCACAACTAGGAACTGATGAATTCATATTGTATACAAAAAAAAAGGAAATGATGTATTATTGAGAAGAGGAAAAGAAAAAAATGATGATGCAGTGAGAAAAAGAAGATGATGACTACAAAGAAGAAAAAAGAAGGAAGAATTGAGATACTAGGAGAATATAACTTGGATGAAGCACACCTTCCAAGGAACACAACCTTTGGTGCACCGAAGGATGATATAAAAAGAAAAAAAAACAACACGATGAAATATGGAGCATCAACTTTAAAGGCATCAAAGAGGCAAGAAACAATAACCATAAAGTTAAAAGCAGTCAATAAGGTGTCAATCAATTTGTATACAAAGGATATTAACACATGAAAATTGAGATAACATCATATTTCATAAGAATTAGCAAATGGAAACTAAGGAGCAACTCTGTTTGCATGAAGGAGATTTTTTGACATGCAACCTGAGAGCATGCAAAGTTTATACAATGTTCCATCTGTACATAATTCTTGCTTTAAACCTTAGCCTGTATTTGAATGAACTGTGAAGAATGAAAGTTTTCCTTTTCAGGATATGTGTTCCAACAAAATTCAGTAAAACAGAAATGGCTTAAACATTCAAGTCATTACTAAATTTCAGTCTATTTGCGAATAAAGGAAAAACTGCCTCCTAGTACAATAGGTTGAATACAAACCCAAAATATTAAGACCATGAACAGCAATTCATAGGTTGAATACATAATTCTTGCTTAGCTAAGTGTATGCCTTAGCATGTATTTGAATGACCTGTGAAGAATGAGAGGTTTCCTTTTCAGGATATGTGTTCCAACAAAATTCAGTAAACCAGAAATGGCTTAAACATTCATGTTATTAATAAATTTTAGTCTATTTTGCGAATAAAGGAAAAACTGCCTCTTTGTACAATAGGATGATACAAACCCAAAATATTAAGACCATCAACAGCAATTCATAGGCTCCATACAAACCCAAAGTGTTGTTGAGATGAGAATGCTTAGTTGGATGAGTGGCTTGAACTTGAAACCAAATGTGAAATGAATCTATCCGTGAAAGGGTTGGTGTAGCTCCAGTGGCAGACAAGATTAGAGAAAGTCATCTTAGATGGTTTGGTCACATTAAACGTCGACCACTAATAATCCGGTTAGGAGAGTAGATGTTTTAAATTTGACTTGTGTTAAGAAAGGTAGAGGTAAACCAAAAAAAGACTTGGGCATATTGTATAAAAAATTATCTTAATCTATTAGAATTAAACGAAAATTTGACACTCAATAGGACAATAGAGAAAAGAATTCATATAGTTGAACCCACTTAGTGGGATAAAGGCTTGTTATTGTCGTTGTTGTTGTTGTATAAACAGCAATTCATAGTTTGTAAAATACATGCATAAAATACCTCCCACACTCCAACCAATAAGATAGGCCACCTATTATCCAAATAATCCATGTTATACCACTATTCATCATCGTTCGCTATTGCAACCACATGAATACAGACTACTCATTCCTTAACTATTCCTACTGTACGAATATTGCGCTAAAAATAAAACCTCAGAAAGAACTAAGAGTCTGTGAGCAGCTATTTGATACTATGCCAGTAAGCACTTGCACACAAACCATACAGATAGCATAGTCCAGTAACTAAGACATCTTAATTGAGAAGCTACAAATTTAAAAACCTGCATGTTAAATTTCATATTTTTCAAATCTACATCTATGATACACTGGGAACCTAAGAAAATAATTAATCAGGAGATACAGGCGGATAATTGGCTAAAACCCAATGATGAAGGTCATATAACATTAGTTTCTCCAAAAGGCCAAGTTATTCTTATAAAATATATCTCGGACATGCACGTCTACACAAACACATAGATGCAAGCTTGCATGGCTTCAAACTTGTATGTACAAATATATATATATATATATATATATGGCAATTGTTGTAATAAGAAACAACCCCTACTTATAATACCTTAAAAGATACGTTCAGATCCACAGGAAACAAACCACAATTTCATAGATTTTATGTACGTGCTTTTCTTTTGTAAATTAACTAATTGCAACTATCGGCTAATGATTAGTTTTTCTCTACAAAGCATCCCGGGAGACAGTTTAGAAATGAGAATATAACTGGTTAGATCGACAACATGCTGTATATACCTCATAAATTGCTCTGTCTCAGAAGATCTAGTGGCGTCTATGGGGCTCCGTGATTTTGGACTGGAGTTGTACTGGCGAGATGATTCTGAAGGGAAAGGTAGAATGCCATCCCCTTCAGCTGAACTCGGAATTCTTCTGGCAACTGATTCCCTCTGTTGTACATTTGAACGTAGAAAACGGCCAGGAAATTCAGATTCAGATACAGTAGGCCTATCATCTTCATCAACATCATGAAAACCTTTATGATTTTCTCTTCCAAAATTATTCTCAGGCCGTTCAAATGCATTATTAGAGTTTCTTGAATCATCTAGATTATCCTGCAACACAATCTGCAGTCCAAAGATTTCATAAGAACGCAGCATAAATCATCATGCATAGCTAGTGAAGAAGCTCAATGCATAACTCAAATCTAGAATGGCATCTAAAAGTGAAAACTAACGTAAAATCTTTTGCAAAAATAAAATTACCTCAATAACAGCATCGAAATCACGAAACCGTGGTGGTCTGGTATCTATAGAGGGAAGACGTTCACCATAACCACTTTCAACTTGAATTGGTCTTCCAGTTGGCTGGAAAAACACAAGTCATCATCAAAATAAGGCTCCAATATTTCAGATTAATGAAGAAAAAGCAGTACAAAAGATGAAGACTCAAAGCAATAAATGTAAAGAATTGAAAAAAAGCCATGAATGATAAATAATAGCAGAAAAAAAAAAATAGAAATTAGAACTTACTAGTGCTGGCCGAATGCAGGAACTTCCTTTTCCTTGCTCACTTAAATCTGCCAGCCCATTTTCAGATTTATCATGATTTATGTTGTCCGCGGGCAAGTTATTATGGCCAGTTGCAGCAGCAAGTTCAGGAGGTAAATCTGGATCATAGTCCTGACAAAAAGGAGATTTTAGCGTTCCAAACAAAGCCACATTAACATTAAGCAATTACAGGATAACACGGAAACTTCTGAAAGTAAAATTTTGACACCAAATACCAAATTAAAAAGCCTAAAACCTTTTAACACTTTCAAAACAACAAAGTGTGAAAATCAGCTAGCTACTAGTACAAGCATACCTATTTAAAGGCAAGAGAGCGGCAATAAGAAGAATACAGTAAATGAAAATGTCCTCAATAATGATAAATAACATAGATTCTTGCCATAAATATTAACCACATGTCATATTATTAATATGAGGATATGACAACTCTAATAACTTTAATATCATCACAAAAACTCACAATGCAACCTCAAAGAGCATTAGAAGTTTGCATAGTGCATGGAGAAGCGAGAGAGCTATAGCAAATGTTGTTTAAGAACTTTTTGAAATTAATGATCTGAGCAGATTGATGCCATAACAAGCATTTTCAGAAAGCTACGAACAACCGACAGACTGAGTTAGGGCCAATTGTTGCCATGACTAAAGTTGAAAGCATCATCACGAGAGATGAGATCCTCAGAGATTTTCACAGGACCCACACAGGATCTTTAAGATGGGACATAAGGACGAAGCATTGTTTGTCAAGTAAGACAGGAAGAGGCTAGCTTAGATGAGATCCACACAGGATCTTCGAAGCAAGAGGAGAAGACGATAACTTAGAGCATGGCTCTGACACTATATTAGAAAACATAAAAGAATCGTATCTTTATTTGATGTATTTTGAGCTACTACATGCCTGCCGACTTAAAAACGAAAGAAGATAGCAATGAGAAAAAAATATTCTCAGTAATACGGATATATTATAGTAAGGTGCCATATATTCCTACCATAAATATCAACTTCATGTAATAAATCTTAACGGAAGGAAATGTTTCCCATTTAGAAAAATGAAAGAATGGGTACATTAAGGGTTTCATTAGCACAATGACCATTAGCAAATGGACAAAAAGTTATATCAGTAACTGTAATAGAGATGGATCTAGTGTTATACCTGGAATGCTGAAGATTTCCAGTATAATCCAAAGAAAGATTAGAATTTTACATATTATGCATGCAAAAAAAATGAAATAAAATAAAATAAATTATTGCTGTAAACTCACAAAAAATTTGCATATTATTACCTGTTCTGACCGACCGCTTTCATAGACCCTAATTTTGCCTTGCATGGTAGATTCTAGACGAAGTTGCTCCTGCATTTATTTTGTAGAAGCAGCTGCAATTATTACAAATGTAAGGGTAATAATTTGAACTCTACAAAAGAATCACAACTAACCAATTGCTTGCAGTATTCCTTCCAATGTTCTTCATCCAATTCAAAATTGAAAAAATCTGAAATATCAACTCCTGGATGTCTCCATGGTTTCTCCTCAAAACTTTCGATGTCAATGTCAAACACAGTCCTGAATGTCAATTTGAAAGTAACAATTCTGTAAATATAGCATTTATTTATAGTTATCGCATAATTCGATTACAAAACAAGTATGTACTTAAAAAGTGTGGAAATACATCCTATGTGAAGTATCTATATGCTTAGAGGTCAAAATATTGTTAATAGATGAGCTAAATTCATGCCACCAGCTCATGATATGCGTAATAAACATGGGTATAGAAATCTATAAGAATTTATAATTATCAAAGTAATAATACCCTCCCCTCTCCTTTAAATCAAAATAGTTCCCTACAACATTATAATCAGAGGAGCAGGAATACCACAGAGACACAGTTAAAACAAACTCAGAATCTTACAACAATCTACCTGATCATGCAATTTGTTGAACTCGTCATACAACTCATGCACGAAATACAAAAAGTAGGAAAAGATACGGAAATACTCAAAAACTTGTGCTGAGTCATACAATGGGCTTATCTTATATGATCTAAATGACTATAAATTTGTAAGATCCAGAAAAAGATAACATGAAATGCGTAAGCAAATCTGCAATGTCTGCCATTTAATTTGATATTAACTAGTTTGCTGGAAACAAATGAAAAGTTAAAATGAAAATTGATGTCTGAACCATGTTAAAACCTAAACTTCGAGTTTTACAATTATATCTCCCAATGTTTAAAATTGTGCAATTAGGCATTAAGGCATTTTCTATTTGTGAGGCAAGGTGTTAGTCTCGAGGCGGTATGAGGCGTAACCTCATAGTTTGAAAACTGCACAGGTCAACATAATGGGATATAGTTATTATTATTAAATAAAGACATTAACATTCTAGCTCAGGCTGCGGCAATAGCAAAGCGGTTGGCGGAGGCGGCGACAGAAGTGGCGAGCAGCTATAGCAGAAACAAGCGGCAGCAGCGCAATGGCAGCAGTGGCATCAGGAGCAATAGAAGGCTATAGCAGAAGAAGGCGATGACAGCAGAGGCAAAAAGAAGCATGAAGAGATGCTAGGAAGCTTGATTGGGGAGGGGAGCTCTTACAAGTGAATGCAGTTTTGATTTGTATTCAAATCATCTAATATATGGGGAAAAAATCTAAACTCGAGAAATGCACGCCTTAGCGGAATTAAGGCAAGGCACGCCTCACCCAATGTGACGCGTACGCTTCGTCTAAACTGTTAAAGGCGTACGCCTCAAAGGGTTTTTCTTCGAAATTGTACTGATGTGGGCCTCAAGGCACACCTCAGATTGAGTAATTTTAAATGGTGATGCCCCCCAAATCTTTCATATCACATAAAAAAATATCACTATAACTTTTAAAAAGTGAAATGCACCTTTCATGCTTGGGTAAGATAGCATACATGTAAGAATTGAAGTTTAGGCATTTGATATGTAAATATATAAGAATTGAGTAATATGCATGCACATCTTCCTAAAAAATTTAAGAAAATAATAAAGAAGAGCGAAAATTACTAAGAAAATATATTAATGGGATAAAATCAACCAGCCTCTAAGAAGCAAAAGTGACTCACTTATGTGCCGGAAGACTGAAATCCAAACCACCACCAAAAGGACGGCCAGATGCAATATTGCTCCAAGTAGGCAACCCATAGCCAGAGTGAAAACCTTTCTGCATGTTAGAAAAACCAATACCACCAGCTGGCCTCCAATCCCCTCTTCCCCTCCCTGCGAGAGCACCAAAGGCAGGCGGACGAACTTGACCAGGAGCACCAGCTGCAGCCATGGCAGGACCTCTAGGTGCAGGCGTCGCCCCAGGTCTAACATACTGCATGTTCAGCAAGAAAACAATAAAATAAACGATCATTTAGGGACATCTAACATACTTCGTTATAAGTAAAAGCTAAATATTTAAAAACTGCAGCTACATAATTTAATTGGATGTTACATTCAAACACGAAAAGATAATTAATCTTCATGCATACACTGGTACAGATTTTTAGGTAAATTATATGAAAAGATCAGAAACTTATTGGATTAAACTTCATGACAGAATGCTCTTCTGAGATGTGAAATATGAGATACATGATCTTAACCAATCTGGCCTTCAAAAGTATCTGCGCTGTATACACAAAAATTTAAACTACTTCCCCACAGCCAATGAGGATTAATAGACACATTGGCAAACTAACCTAAAATAATTCTGAAATTATTTGAATCATATCCTGCCTATTATTGCATGCTCCTGATTTCCATCACTTAGGCAGCTCCATGCAATGCATCGTCTTTAAACGAACTGACATGAACAATAATATATTTTACCTCATATGAATAATAATATATTTTACCTTGGGTGTATTGCTTTTACAAAACTAATAGGTTACTGGATTATCTACAAAATGTGAACAAGGAAAATTCGCAAACTAACCCCAGTGAATAACTGGAAGAAAAATTATCATATCAATGCCATGACTTACATGTCCCCACACAAAAAACAAAAAAACTCAATTTTTAAAAGTCATTTTCATTCTGAACCCAAAAAATGAATGAAAACTAACTTCAGTTCAATTTCATAACCATTTTTTCATTTTCAATTTCATTTTCTTTCTTTCAATAACTTCAGACCAAGCAAATCCTTAGATTTCATAACCTAGCAACCTCCATACCAAAAATTGAAATTGAAGCTTTTATATTAACTGGTACATTTTGGATATTTTTATGGGTTTTCATAAGCCCTGCATTGCATCTTGCAAAACCTGCATTCATTTCTTCTGAATTGAGAACTCAGTGGAGCCTCGTTTCTCAATAAGAGCACATCCGGCCACTTTCGCCATTTTCACCCATAAAGATGTTGCCCTAACAAAAGTGGGTCGTTCCGGGCATCAAACCAAGTTTGTTGAAGATCATAATATTTTATTTTTTAAGATTTAATATAAAAAACTTCAAATTAACCCAGCAGGGTTAACCTCCTCAGATTCTAAACATGTTTAATGGCCTGATTATCCAACCCAAAAGCCCATTATCAAAAGCTCATACCAATCATGCCAATAAAATAGAACAAAGAATATCTATATATATGCCTCGCAAAAAAATTATATATATCTTTATATAGAGCAATACAAGAATTTGCGTGATACATTACAGGAAAGAAACTCTCTGTTACAAATGCAGATACTAGGGTTTCCACAACTAGCCAATGACTAACCTTGAACATAGAATGATGCTGCGAATGGAAACTGTGATTGCTATATCCTATGCCAGCCCCAGCTACATTTGGGGCCACACCACTTGCCTTTGCTACTTCAAGCATATCCTTCTTCTCCCCATCGACAGATGACTGCAATGCATCATCCCCCCAATCTTGCTCCTCCAAGGCCTGGTGATGATGACGCTGATCATCATCAGTAACAATGACCAAATCCTCATCATCCTCGTCGCTACCCCCTCCATCCCTCCTATCAAGACCTAGCAGATCATGCCCAGTGTCGTTTAGAACAATCTGCAGATCGTCCTCGCTGCCGCTATCCCAATCATCACTCTCTGAAGCCTTCACGAGCACGCCGTTGGGAACCGCAGGAGTTGCCAAACCAGGAATTGCCAGTTCATTATCGCGACCGAGAAGCTCCCGTCTCTTATCCAAAGATCCTTCCGCGTCAAGCGCACCGCCCACTTCCTCATTAGAAATCCTACTAGCCTCTTCCGCAACAATCTGCCCCGGAACCCTAGCCCCGCCGCTTTCAGATGATAAACCTCTAACGGCCTCTTTTGAATCGCCGACTACTTCTTCATCATCGTCGACCCAATTCGCTGGCTCCTCGACAGGCGTGGGGTCACCGCCAAGCAACCAATCGTCCTCGGCGTCCCCAGCGGAAACTTGTCGCTCACGATCTATGGATGAAGATTCAGGAACTTCTGCAAAAGGAAAAGAGGATCCGCGCAGAGCCTTGTCGTCCTCCTCGTCAGAGCCGTTTCCGGCGCCTCCACCGCCAGCGGCAGCTATGGAAGCGGACTTCTGGTTAGAGGGGATCGAAGTTGCAGCAGGAGAGACGTGGAGTACATCGGTGTAGAGATCTCCGAAGTCGTCGTCGTCCTCCATGGTAATCGAATTTGAGGAAAGCGGCAACGGGGGAAAGAAAGAAGTCGAGAGGCGGCGTTTCTGTACAAGAGCCGAGGAGGAAGATATGCTAGTTGCTAAGGCTACTGGCTTGAGGAACTCAGGTGTATAATGCCCCGTTCCTGCATTGAGATTACTAAAAACGCTAATGAGTTTTGGGCTAGCCCATGAGCCCAACTTGGTAGGAGCCCAATCGTTACGTCTCCATAGGCTGATCATCTTCTAAATACCATAGTGCAGCCCTTAATCGAGCCCAAAAATGCTTTAAAAAATATAACACAAATTAAATGAGTAGAATGAGATGTTGGCTCACCAGTTTATACATATAGAAACATAAGCTTAGAGTTTGTATATAAAAGCAAAAAAATTGGTGGAGAATTCTAAATAACCACTCACCAACACACAATGACAAAATTAGCTTATTACAAATAATTAATGCCCACAATTACCATCACTCAATTCTTGATTGTCATTCTACATAAAATATTCGACAAATATTCTATGATTTATAGCTTTCCCAAATGACTCTCTAATAATGTGTCATTGATTGACACACAAAACTGTCAGAAACTGGTATTCATCTTCCTAGTGACCTGATCTTTTTTTTATTCTATAAATTGGTATTTTTCATTCATCAAATTTGATTGATGTCGATTAACAATTGACTCGTCATAATTCAATGAAGACTTTGACATTATGAAAACTTCTTCCACTATCACCATTTGAGATCTCATATAAGACTCATGTATATTATCTTGTCTCAAGTATTTGTTGTCATTTTTTTTAGTGAACTTTTGGAGTTGCTAGCTTGTTTTATTGTCATCGTTTGGTTATCTTTCCAAGTAAATCTCTCTTTAGAGAGGAACCAGAGAGAAAAAAGAAATGACGAGAATATACAAACAATGAAAAAGAATGTGGACAACTTTCTTAAAGTAAACTTCACGTGATAGCCCAAGGGCATGCCTTCAAAATGAGATCAGATCGAAAATGCCTTGAAAATATATTTACAAAGAGAACCTTATAAAAACAACTTACACAACCCACAACCAGAGAATCAAGTTTTTGTGCTTGCTTTGGGTCAATAGCAACTCCTAAAGAAATGTATCCCTTTGGTTAATTATATCTCGGGGGACGCCTAAAAATACTCTTGATAAGATGTGTCTTGCTTACATTATTTTTTATATCTAGTTATTTGTTAAACCAAAGGATTTTAATCATTTCAAGTGTAACAATCCTGATGATTTCGATTCCTATACTGAGCCATAGAGTAGATGGCAAATCATTATATCCACTATGGGCGACGACACCTATGCATGTAGGGCCCACCAAATGATATCACAAATTTTTCAAAGAGAATCTACAGGGCTCAAAAGAGGAGTCAGCAGGAAGGGGAGGAATCCTTAAGCAGGTAGAGGTAGCGAGGTCAAGATACCATAGATCCGTTATCCCAAGCTAGAGAGATTCCACTTCTACTTGGTCGTGAAGGTAGTTGACCAAGGTCCCCTTGTCAGCAATCCATAAATTGCACAATCCAAGGGGATCTCGATAGTCCTAATACCAGTGGAAAGAAACCTCTAATTTTCTATCACTCTCTAAGAGATGGAATAGTTAAAGATGGGACATACTCATCAATTCAATGAAGAAGATGCCACTGGAAAGGGTAAAAGAAGGGGTCTAACTACAAATCTAGAACCACCTCACAAAGGAATTATTCCCCGTCTAGTTCAAAGACGCCTCTAACACACTAATTATGTTAGACAACCTCCTCTGTAGAAATTTGTGCTTGGCATAGTCAATTAAGAGAACACAGGGGCTTCTCCTCGAGACATGCAAGATGATGCAGTTATTTGCAATTGAATTTAAATGTTGAGGCCCAATTTGGGATGACTTAGGATATGTTCACACTAGACAATTCATTTTAAAATTGACTCGAAGGTCATGCTAAAAAGTAAAATAAAAAGTGTTGCTCTTTTTAAAATTGAAATATTTTAATCCAAAATTTTATTTTATCTTGAATTTTTTTATTGTTAGTGTTTTTAAAAAGTCATTTGGGGTCATTAATGAGCCTAGGTTACATTTTAGTAAAAGGCCAGACAAATTACAAGCCAAGAAAGAGAAAAGTCAAGCACGTTGCACAATTGTACATCAACCCAAATAAAATAATAAAAGGTCTGGTTTCGTTGGGTCAATAACATATCCCAAAAAGTAAAAAAGCATCCGGACTCTGCATATACATACCAAAATCCTAATTCTATACATGAGTATAAATTCAAACTTAAGGTATGTGACACGTGCAATTGCTCATGGTCTCATCACGTGGTTCGATGTGTCATGCTCCTTAAAACCCGTGCACGTATTTTATTTTTGATACATGACTCCCTAATGACTCTGAAAATACATATGAAAAGTCAAAAAAAGACTAGACCTGCAGAGAGGCTAGCACAAGTTATATTCATGCAATGCATAATGAGTCATGTCTGGCAGAAGGAGAGCATTAGTAGCACCTGTAGAAATTGTTAGCATTTAAATCTGGCCTGAAGGCCATGCAGAAAAGTAAATGCACTTTTTTGAAAATCTTAAGTGTTTTAATCCTAAATTTTAATTAGTCTTAATTTTTATTAGGATTTGTATAAATTTTAGAATATTAGGTTCTTAGAGAGCCTAAGAAATACACATGATTCCCAGACAATCCACAAGGAAAAAAGGGAGAAGCCAAGTCAATCACATTGTGCAAGTAAAGTAAAGCAAGCCAAGTATGAAAGAATAAAAGGTCGAGTGTCGTTGGGTCAACAACATATCCTAAAAACATAAAAAGGTGGGCAGACACCGCATATACAAGCTTGGTCCTAACTTTATACATGAATGAGATTTTATAATTAAGGTACAGAACAAGGGCCCACAGCTCGTAGTCCCCATCATGTGGTTCCACTAGTCTTACGCTTCGGAACCCGTGCCCGTACCTTATTTCTAATACATACTCTATATGAAGACTTTAAAAGTACATGGTAAAATAAAAAAAAGACTCGACCCATAAAACATAGTGATTAGTACAAGTTATAGCATGCAAGTGAAATAGACCACATTTGGGTCTGACGAAGGGAGAGCTTAACATCACCTGCAGAAAATGTGTTAGTGTAAATCATTACAGCTCCTCAATGTTAGATGTAGCACCCTGCAAGCAGACCGCCTTTATATATACTAATGCACAAGTCTCACACCCCGTAAATATACAAAGAAGCACAAAAGTGATACATAGCTAGAGCAACCAAACCAGCAGATAACTATAGTCAGGGCATCAAAAAAGACTACCTAGCACCCTAGTCTTATCCTAACACACCATCCATCGTAGAATGTCATAATCACAGAATCTAAGTGTGTGCAGTGCATGTGCAGACAAAAGGTTAACGTATGTTTTGATGGGGTCGCCATCCTCGACTTCATCCTAACGATCCAAGGATTGTAAGAAGTGTCACTAAATGCTAGTTTTGTATGAACCAAAACTTTAAAAGTTTGACCTTATGTATGGTCTAAGTATAAGGATACAAGTAGCTTCAAAGTAGATTTTGAAAAAAATGACATTTAATAAAAAAATATAATTCTTTTTTATATTTTTAAAATAGGTCCTAAGATGAAAATAACCTAAGTGGCACCTATTAGACTTATTGAAACCTTAGCACATATATGTGTGCTAGTCACAGTTCGATAACTAGTGTTGCCTACTGAGACATCCTCGCGGGCAATACTGGTTGTCGTGTCATGACCAACAGAGGTTTACTCAGCTAACGAGGCAGCTTCATCACCGAGTTGATCGAGGATACACATGTAGATACAAGGAGATCTAGTGCGTTGTGACCACTCCATCGAGGCAAGAGCCATCACAAGATAACAAATATTTGTCATAAGTATACGAAGGTGTATACTAATGACGAATGTGCCAACAATGCAGTAATATGTATGTGAGACGCACAATGTTGATGAGGTGGTGTGTTTTTTGCTTGAGAGAAACCTACACAGGGTAGGCTTGAGGTGCAAGTCATTTCTGAAGAGGACACATAAGTGTCAGAAATGAGTATGCGAGGAGCAGTGACTCAAGAAAGACACAAAAGTGCCAGGGTGAGTGTGCTAGTAACAGCGACTCAAGAAAGACACACGAGTTTCGGGAGTGAGTGTGCGATGAGCAGTGACTTGAGAAAATACCTTGGGTGGTTTGAAGTGGTGTTGTAGGAAGTAAAGGAGTGTGCGAGAAGCAGTGGCTCGAGAAAGACACACGAGTGTCAGGAGTGAGTGTGGGAGGAACAGTGACTCAAAAAAGACACATGAGTGTCAGGGGTGAGTATGTGAGGAACCGTAACTCAAAAAATATTAACAGTTGTATGAAGTTGTGTTGTAAGAGATGAAAGATTGTCATCCTTGTTAGGGGAGAATCACGCAATGGGTATGCTTGACCTGCACATCGTCCCCTAAGAAGAAACACAAATGTCGAAAGTGAGTGTGCAAGAGCAATGACTCATGTACGAACCACGAGCATATGAAATGCAAGCACACAATGTGCAATGCAAGCAAACATGTAGATGTCCACAAATGAGAGTGCAAACACAGGGCACAGTGCATGGTGACAAGAGAGAATGTCGAGTAACGGGCATGAAGTATTGCACCTAAATGGGGCACAAATACTCGTTATGAGCATATGAAGGCATATGCTCACAAGTACACAAACAATGTGTTAATGTGAATTCACTAATGCAACTATGCAAGTAGTATGAAACAAACACACAATAATGCAACATTTAAGTTGAGTCAATCGACATGATTAGGCCCATGGAGGCCGATTGTTCGAGGCGATGGAGGTGGTCGATCGACCATACACGACCGATCGACAAAGGATAGTCGATCGCTCTGATCGGGCTAATGGAAGTCAATTGATCGAGCCTACGAAGGTGGTCAATCGAGCTGGCGTAGGCTGTCAGTCGATCAGGTCTCGGCGGCCAATCAATAAAGAATTGTAGCTAAACTCGATCAGGCCGGTGGCGGCAGACCGGTTGCGCCAACATAAGTGGTCGATAGAACCAGCGTAGGTGGTTAATGGACGAGCAAAAATCGATCGGGC